GCCCACCCACTGATTTCTTCCACTGTACCTGCTGCCTCTCATTTTAACCCATTAAAAATACTAATGTTGTTTTCCTTGTAGAGGTCTTTCACCTCCGTGGTTAGGTCTATTCCTAAGTATTTTATTTTATTTTATTTTGCAGCTATCATAAAAGGGGCAGAGTTCTTGGTTTGATTCTAAGCTTGGTTGCTGTTGGGGTATAACACAGCTACTGATTTGTGTACATTAATTTTGTCTCCTGAAACTTTCCTGAATTCATTTATCAGTTCTAGGAGCTTTAGGGAAGACTCATTAGGGTTTCCTAGGTATATGATCATATATCATCAGCAAACAGCAACAGTTTGACTTCCTCTTTACCGATCTGGATGCCTTTTATTGCTTTGTCTTGTGTGATTGCTCTGGCTAGACCTTCCAGTACTATGTTGAATAGAAGTGGTGAGAGTGACTGCTGCAAACCTTAGTTACATCCTAGGAAAAAGAATACTTCCTAAAATAAAACTAAGGTATCATCCTTACCCTTCTCTTTGTCTCATCCAGAAATATGATGGGGGAATTACCTGCCCTAACCCCTCCCTCAAGAAATACATTACTGTACTCTGGAATTTAGACAAAACCTTAAATCTCCAGGCTTTTTAAAGCATAAAATATAAATAAAAGCTGGGAAAGTAAACCAAAATTCTTCAGATTGTTCCTCATGAATATCCCCCTTCCTCTGCAATTCCCCAGAGTGGTAACGGATGGGTAGAGGCAGCTCAGGTGAATTACCCAGCTTGCCTCTCAACTCATTCCTCCTCCTCCTCTCAAAGGCTGAAGGCAGGGCCTTTCCAGTCCTCATGACCTGCCTTTCACCTACTCCCTCCTGACCTAGGGATGGAGGCTTTGAGTGCCATAGTGTGGTGATACAGAGCACTAGTTGTCACTGCCTGGCTTTATTTAAAAGAAATATAGTAGGCTTCCTCTGTAGAGCTCTGAAAAAGTTGACTACATAGAGGTCTTCTGTGTTTTTACTTGGTGAAGTATTTCTCACATCTTTTGTTACCAGAGTACCATTCCAATCTCTTAACTTGCAGTTGTGTGGAAAACTGTTTGGTAATGAAAGATCTTCACTGGGGGATTGAGCAGCATTTAGTAAAGTCTATATTTGAAAAAAAAAATAAAATAAAATAAAAAAATAAATGGTGAGAGTGGGGATCCTTGTCTTGTTCCAGTTCTCAGGGGGAATGCTTTCAAATTTTCCCCATTCAGTATTATGTTGGCTGTGGGTTTGTCATGGATGGCTATTACATTGAGGTATGGCCCTTGTATGCCGATCTTGCTGAGGATTTTAATCATAGAAGGATGCTGCATTCTGTCAAATGCTTTTTCTGTGTCTATTGAGACAATCATGTGATTTTTTGTTTTTAACTCTGTTTATGTGGTGTATCACATTCATTGACTTGTGTATGTTAATCCATCCCTGCATCCCTGGTATGAAACCCATTTGATCATGGTGGATTAATATTATTATTATTTTGAGATGGAGTCTTGCTCTGTCACCCAGGCTGGAATGTGCAGTGGTGTAATCTTGACTCACTGCAACCTCCACCTCCCAGATTCAAGCAATTCTCCTGCCTCAGCCTCCTGAGTAGCTGTGATTACAGGCACGCACCACCATACCCAGCTAATTTTTGTATTTTTACTAGAGACAGGGTTTCACCATGTTGGCCAGGCTGGTCTTAAACTCCTGACCTCGTGATCCACCCGCCTCGGCCTCCTAAAGTGCTGGGATTACAGGCGGGAGCTACTGCGCCATGTTGGATTATTTTTTTGATATGCCCTTTGAACTACAAAACATAGTTGAACGAAATCATGGACACAAACAAATGGAAAGACATCCCATGCTCATGAATCGGTAGAATGAATATTCTGAGAAGGACCATACTGCCAAAAGCAATCACAAATTCAACACAATTCCCATCCCAAACCACATATCCCAGGTTTAGGCCATGGTATCTCTGAGCCAGAAAAACCTCACCCTGAGGGCTATCAGTTAACAGAAGTCCTGCTTCCAAATAAAGCAGACCAGGGACCACCACACATTGGAGGGAAGCCTCCAACAAAAGAGACCAAAACAACAGAAAGAAGGAATTCATGAGACCAGTCAAAATCAGGAGCAAAACTTAAAAAAAATCTTAAAATACTCTCAAAAATATAAAATTCAATAAAAATGTAGAGGATAAAATGACAGAATATCCCAGAAGTGGAATAAAAAGGCAAACTGAAAAAAATAGAAGGGGAAAAATTAAAAACCAATGTCTGTATAGTGGTCTAAGCAGCCTAGCATCTGAATAACAAGACTATCGATAAAAAAGTAATGGAACATAAAAAAATTCTCAAGAAGAGATAGTCTGCAGGTTTAGTAGCCTCAATAAAATGAGAAGATCCCCACCAAGCTGTGACTTTTTTTTTTTTTTTTTTTTTTTGAGATGGAGTCTCACTCTATTGTCCAGGCTGGAGTGCAGTGGAGCAATCTGGGCTCACTGCAACCTCCGCCTCCTCGGTTCAAGTGATTCTCCTGCCTCAGTCTCCCAAGCAGTTGGGACTACAGGTGCACACCACCACTCCTCGTTAGTTTTTGTATTTTTAGTAGAGATGGGGTTTCACTGTATTGGCCAGACTTGTCTCGAACTCCTGTCCTTGTGATCCACCCACCACAGCCTCCCAAAGCGCTGGGATTATGGGCATGAGCCACTGTGCCCTGCTCCCACCCAGGTGTTATAAAATTTCAGAACCTAACAGATAGAGAAGATCCTAAAAAGCTTCCACAGCTACCTAAAACCTGGGTGTAAATAGTGTATCACACACTGGCAATAGATTCAAGAACAACATTGTAATGACAGCACAACTGTAAAATGTCTTCAGAACCATAAAATTTAGATTCAACCTAGAGATGTCCTCTCTATCAAAGAGGAGAGATTTTAAGATTGGCCAGCTCTCTAAACATGTCCACCCAGGAAAATGTGTTGAAGTACAACTAGAGAGGATTACAGGACAGAAGGAAACACAGAATCAGGGACTCAGGCGATCCCACACAAGACAGCAGTTATGTGAGATCCCAAAAGACTTTAAGGAGATAGCACAGAAAAGCAGACATCGAGCCTATCTAGGGAAAGCCACTCCATACTGAACTAGGATGACAAAAGGCCAAAGAAAGTTGCCCTCCTACAAAGAAGAAAAGGAACAA